ACCAATGGCACAGCCTCAAGCCTCACAGCAATATACACGCAAGCCACCACAGTACGATAAACTGACAGACACATTTGTCTCCCTTGACTGTTTGAAACCTCTCCGCCCTCCCCTTACCTGGATTCCGCAGGTCTGTCTCATCCCTGGCTTTTCCCCTGCTTCCTGCCTCTTGGGGTGGGTCCTTGTTTCCCTCCCCTTACCTGGATTCCGCAGGTCTGTCTCATCCCTGGCTTTTCCCCTGCTTCCTGCCTCTTGGGGTGGGTCCTTGTTTCCCTCCCCTTACCTGGAGCATAGGGTAGGTATTATTCAAACTTTCCACTCTTAGCTGGTGAGCTCCAAGTGCACACTTCCAGTATCATCACCTCCCTAACCTGTGTGACCCCAAGAGTGTCCTTTCCCTATTCTGCATGATAGCAGAGCTGTCCACACCAAAGTCTGCATGGCCCCAGGAATGTCTTCTTGCCAGTCTGTGTGGTATCACAAGTGTGCACACCCGTGTGTGTGATGCCAGAGGTGTCCCTGTCCTATTGTGTGTGACACCAGAAATGTCCAAATCATTGTTGGCGTGACCCTTGGAGTATTCACACTTCTGTCTATGTGAGCCCAGTGCTGTCCACACCCCCATCTGAGTGACTCCATGAGTGTAAACCATCTCTGTGGTCCTAGAAGTGCCTACACCTTCTTTATGTGACCTCACATCTGTCCACAACTTAGCCTGTGTGAGCTCAGGAGTGCCTCATACTATTCTATATTGTCCCAAAACTACTCACATTCCAGTCTGAGTGACCCCAAGAGTAGTCACTCCCAAGTCTATCTGACTGTAGGAATGCCCACACTCCAGTTTGTTTGACTACAATATTGCCCACACCCTAGTCAATCTGTGTGTTCCAGTCTGTGGGACTCCTAGAATGTCCATTCTCTAGTGTGTGTGAATCCAAGAGTTTCTACTTCCCAGTGTGTGTAACTTCTGAAATGTCCAAAACCCCATCTGAGTTCCCCAAGTGTGTGACCCCAAGAGTATTCACACTCCATTCTGTGTGGCTCTAAGATTATCAACACCCCTGTCTCTGTGACCCCAGGGTGTCTACACAACTATCTGTATGATCCCAGGGATAGCCACATAATAATTGCATGATGGTAGGTGCTTGGCTTTACCTCTCTCATACACCCTCTGTGAGTGTGACTTGTGAGGGATTGTTCATGTCTAAATTGAGTGGGATCATTTTGTCCTTAGCTCCCTCCAACACCATTAAGTGGCCTCTTGTATTCCTATTTCTCCTCACTCTCCCCAGCAGACCATTCCATTTTCACCCCCACAGCCACACACACACACACACACACACACCCCTCCCTCAAATGGCCCATTCCAGCCTCAGTCCTTGCAATTATTGTAGAGAAAAAAAGCCAAGCCTTCCAGCCTCCTGCTGCAGAGAGCCTACCCTCCGAAAGCAGTGCAGAAGAAACTAGTGAATGCACCATTGATGGAAGTAAAACCTTCCAGGACTGTGTAGAGTATTGTGATGGTTAATGTTATATGTCAATTTGGCTAGGCCATGATTGTCTGTATTGTGTGGTTGTCCTCCATTTTGTGATCTGATGTAATTATCCTCCATTTTGTGTTGCAGATTCTAACCTCTATATGTTAATGAGGAGCTCTGGTACTGTAGTGGTTAAAGCATTTCTCTGCTAATCAAAAGGTGGGTGGTTCAAATCCACCAGCTACTCTGCAGGAGAAAGATGAGGCAGTCTGTTTCTGTAAAGATTTACAGCCTTGGAAACCCAGTGGAGCAGTTTCACTACCCTCTATATGGTAGTTATATATGGTAGTTGAGTCAGAATCAACTCTATAGCAGTGGGTTTATGTTAATGAACCTGGGGTGTAACTTGATTCAGTCTTACAAGAAGACATGACTCACACCCTTACTCATGTCACATCCTTACTCAAGTCACATCTCTATTTTGATGTAAGG